CACTGATATATATATATCAGTGACTGGATTTTGCACAACTCCAGGTGCACTATGGGATGATGTCAATATTTTTTTAAATTTTTACTACAGTATTTTGGAGGTGCTGCATTGCTTTGGTGCCTCAAAGATCAAACTGTCCTGAACTGTCACTGGAAAAAAATGTGATGACACTTATTAAGGTACACTACCTTATTACAGTATTTCATTCAGGTTTACAAAATGCTATTCCAATATTCTCCATGAACTTGGTAAAAGGAAACATTGCTCTCAGGTCCTCTATCTAAATCTGCTACAAAGTTGGTTCCATTTGACGAGGGACCAAATCAGGTGTTCCATTTGATTTCATATGCATACTTAAAATGAATTTGGAAGCCCAATTCAAAAGACTCCATCCCATTCTCAAGAAATTGATTTATGCTACTTGCAAACTACTTGTGCAAATTCTATCCTTGTACGTTAAACCCCTTATGTGAACAAACCATAAAGCAAGGTCCTAAATGCAAAGTGGCTGAATGCATTAAAGTACAGTATATGATTCAGCGCTTTCTTTGCAACTCACAATAGTTACTTTCTTCATCTGTGCTGTTTGCCACAAGCTTAATTTCTGCTGACTCTTCAAAGGTACTTTTCCAATCTTGTGCACATCCCAGAGGATTTATTTGATCATGTGAAAGAGAAAATCGGGGGTTCTGTGTGTGCCAGAGCATGCTCAAATCCTATGCGTAGCAAAATCTGCATGTGCCACTTTCTTAGCTTCCTCTCTGAACTTCAGCAGTATGTAGTCCAAAAAGCATATTGGACCTGCCAAGCTGAAAGGTGTTCCTGGCTTTGGAGAGTATTTTAGACCTATTCATACAGTGGATGATTTTCCACAACGGGAGGGAAGTAATTTACTCTGGCTGTGGGCAGGGAGTCAGCATCTGTAGTGTCTTCCGTACGGCTGCTTTCCAGATTATGAGCCTTTCAAGAGCAATAGCTATTAAACTGCTATGGACAGCTTTGGACACTGGGTCAAGAAAACTGGGCAACACCAGACCAGCTGTTTCAATAAAACCAGCTCAAGATTGGTTTTGGCTGCTTCAGCTTTACATTTTTTTTTCCAAGCTGGTTTAACAAAATGAGCCCATGATTTAAAACAACAGAGCAATGTTAATTTGGAAGAAAGAAGGCATTTTGACTTAAATTTTGCATTGCAAAATAGATGCATCTTCAAGAAGGCAAACCAAAATAACCCCTTTAGGTGCTTGCAGGTAAAAGCCTTCTAAAGTCATGCTGCAGAGGTTTATCCCTTTGGTTCCTACAGCGCTCACACCACTGAGTCATCTAACCCTATATTTTCTATACAAGTTCTTTTAAAAAACAAACAAACCAGTAACCACTTTTTTTTTTTTAAACAGTAACCAGTATCACCACACCATCCACCGGGCTACACTGGAAGCCTCTTCTCAGGTTGCCTCAAATCCTTTGAGGGAAAGATACTGGAGCCGAAAAGAAATTTCTCCCAGAAAGAAGGAAGCAAAAAGCTTAGATCTATATATGAAGCCAATTATGCCTGACTCTAGACAGAATGTTGACATCATATATTCACTGTAATTTAAATGATAAAACATTGACACCTCTTGAAGGTTTGCCTACCTTCAATTTGACACCATTCTGCTTGGAATTCAAGAAGGCTTATCAAGCCATTTCACAGCCATTCAGTGGCATGGACACCATGCATTATGTATATAGAACCTGCATCCACATCAGTTTACCCACAAACTGCGTTGCTCATTCTACAGACTAACCCTGTAAGCCTTGTGCGATGGCACATCATTGGCCAATGATTGCACAGGACCTCAAGTTAATGAGTGCATGAAATTAGTACATGGAATACTGAATATCCACCAGGATTAATTTTTTTTAATTTTACATTTTCTTATAATTTTGCTCAGGTAGGAGGCACCAGTGCTCGCCATTAGTTAAATTCAGTATTTGGACTTGAATGGTCAGAAAGGAAAACTGGAATACAGAAGTCTTTATCTTGGCACAGTATTACATGTGAATAGTTTTAGACTTAAAACCTGGTGGCCTCCTCCTGTTAATAGACTTGAAGGCAGGCCCCAGACTCTTTCCTCATCCTAGTGTTGAGGAGACTCTTCTCAACTTTGAGAAGAACCATATTTTCTCTTACTCCTTTGCTCATATTAATTATTGCAGTAAAACTGGGCTTGAAAAGACAGGAATAATTTAGTCTCTCTCCTCTCACCTCCTTCAGCACACAACATGCAAATGTGATCCAGAAATAACTTTTCTCTTCCACAGCAGCTGGCACTGCCAGGTGTTAAGATTGGCTTTACACTTAGGATCACACTGACTACTAAGCAGCATAAATTTTTCAAAGTGCCAACGTGCCAACTCTATAGCAACTTGGATTCTAGTTCCTGTTCTTGTAATCTTCCAACCCTTTATTAGTTAGAACTACTTTTACTGTCAGTACACTTCAGGTTGGACTTAATGCCAACTCAGATTTCTCCCCTAATTTTCACATTCCCAGAAATTATTAGAAGATTTTTTTTAATTTAAAAAAAATTGGTAAAAGGGAGGGGAGTCAGTACACTTCAGGCTGGACTTAATGCCAACTCAGATTTCTCCCCTAATTTTCACATTCCCAGAAATTATTAGAAGGAAGATTTTTTTTAATTTAAAAAAAAATTGGAAAAAGGGAGAGGCATTTAACTCAATGCTTGCATCTACTCTACTGTGGATGTGCCAGGTTTCTATAATTTTTGCTTCAACTAATCCTGCCCCCCTGAGTATAGCATGCCTCTTTAAAAGTTCAATAACACCGAGGAACCAATAAAACACAGGTTTTCAAAGTAGGTTCTCAGGTGCCAAAGCCCTGTTTGGGTTGACACAGTCAAGGAAAACAGATGGAAACAGACGAAGGCACCTGCGAGACAGTGACAGCTTACCATGGCCCTTAATTTAGAAGGGGAAGTAATACTACTTTACAGCTATAACAAGCACAGATGAATCGCACTGATGTCATGGGGCTTAGAAGATCGTATCAGTCAAATGGTACCGCTAGAATACTTGCTAATTGACTCGCATCAGGTTTTCAAATATTTATAGTACATCTTCCTCCAAAAACGCTACGCACAAGGAGAATTCTGTTCTCCTTTGATGCACCAATGTTGCTAATTTTCTTTATGAAATTACTTTCATCCTGCTTTTTTGCCCCAACGGGGCCTACCAATTTAATTTTAAAATCTATAAATAAATTTTAAAAAGACATAAAAGGAAAAGCAGAGATCATAAACAGAGAACAAAACAAACCACCCCTCTGCAAAGCCTCTTTAGCAGAGAAATGACTTTGTCTGCTATCTAAAACCAAGGTATGAAAAGCGGGATGGGGCACAAAAAACCAAAAACCCTCTGGATCATCCTGGGCCATCATCCTTTGCATTTTCCAGGTGGAGGAACCTTGAGCAGAACTCTCAGCAGAAGCATGAGTGAAACCTTAAATTAAGAACTGAAATTGTCATGAGTCCCTTTAAAAATAGCCAAGTAACCTGCGAGCCCCTGCCGTATCTGCATAAAAAGGCATTTTTAACGGGGTAAACTGTTGTGAGAAGACAAACTTCCCTGGAAACAACAATAATTGCTAGGAAGAGGAGCTTGAGAGGGATTGACTCAATAGAGAAACCATGACCTTTGTTTTTGAAGACTGCAGCAGGGTTTTTAATGATAGGAATTAACTTTTTTGGGGGGTTGGGGTTGGGAACACTTCTTCATAACCCACCCACCCCAAGTGGCAGCAATTTGACACGTATGTGCTTCATATTTTATCCCTACATTTTTAATGTGAAATGCCCAGATGATTTGGGGTTGTTGTTAATGGGTAGTATTGAGATATAAAAAATGTAAATAAAGTAAAATCAGTTAAAAACGTTTAGAATTTAGATGCTTAACTAACCCTGCTCAGAGCTGTCAGGTACATGCTGCATTTTGTTCATTTTATACTGTGACATATATAATATTATTATGAGCCACCTTGAATGTTACACAATGAGATGCAGAACACAACATCATTCAAACCAACCAACCAACCAACCAACACAAAAATGGGTTGAGATCAGACTAGATCTATATGGATTGTGAAAAGGACAGCAACGTAAGTACCTAGAAATGGGTAAAACATTACCTTCTTTAAATGCTTTCTTATGGTACTGCTGTCTCTCTTTGTGACCATCCTCATCTCTTGACTTGCCATGTAAAAAACGTTTGCTGCAAAAATAAGAGGCATACATATACAGAGATATGATTAAGCAGTTTTATACAAGGAAGCAACCTCAAACTCTGGCCATTGTCTACAGAAGGTTAAGCCCACTGACTTAACACAGCTGTTCTCAAAAGAAGTGGTTGCCAACAGATGTCTCCGTTCTGCAACAGCTTGTTTTACTGGCAGTCCCATTGAGCCTGTCAGCTATTATCAGTGGCCCAAATCCTAGACTTGGATCCAGCATCTTCCTCCTTCTGCGGCTGGAAGGGCAACTTCTATCCCTGGAAAGTTTCTAATCCAGTGAAGCATTTCTGTGGGTGGAATGTAGGAGTAAGCAACCTTCACAGAGATCACTTCACGGAGATCACCACCTTCCTGCAGCCTCCTGTCCTGTCCTTGACGATCTGCTCTGAAGAGCTGCATGTTCTGGAAGAACATGGGGGTGGGGGTGGGGAAAGAAGCACAGGGGGCTACAGAGTAAGACCTCTCCTCCTGTTGGCAAGCACACCTTTAGTGGAACTCTGCTCAGGGGATGATCCCACCAGAGAACCTGGATCCAACATTCTGACTCACTGGACTCTTTGTAAACATAATGGGGAACCATGAATGCTCCACACGAGGGCTCAAAACATACAACTCTGGGCTATGGGCAATCCCTCACTGTTCCTCGCAGTCTTCTTTTGAAATGGAAAAGGCTTTACAGAAATGTACTCATGGCATCCCCCAACGAAACAGAAGCTAAATATTCTTTTTCCTTGACAAGCAGTTCCTGTTGACTTCCTGGTTACGGAAACTGGTGGGAAGAGCCAAGCAGAAGCACTTGGGAAGCAGGCTTCTGCTTGACACGTTGGCAATTACACAAATGAAGCAAAATTAGACAGTTTCTAGAAAGAGTCTAACCTGGTTAAGGAAATGTATTTATTACTAGTTCACAGTTTTTACATCATTTGATTTTTAAATTAAGAATCAATTTGTTCTGTTCTGTTCTTGCATTGAGCAGTTTTTAAACACAGTTGTCAACAACTCCAAACCCCACAGAAGTGGGCAGATGCAAAGGAAACTTTTTATATAAATACATGAAATAAATATTTAGAGGTAGTGGAGATGTTTGTAAATGATGCAGTCAGGAGGCTCCCTTCAAGGAATTCCCTCCTAGAGGTAAAAAGAAAGAGTGGCTGTCCTCTTCCGAGATTATCCATAACACCTGCTGATACTCTAGACTTGGAGGAGGACAGATGGCATTAGATACCTCTTTTCTGAACTTCCCAGGCCCAGGAGAGGTTTCTGTTGTGGGCCCTTCCTCCAGAAGTCAAAACTGTGACCTTGGCAGAGGGCGGTATCCCCTTCCCCCAAATTATGGTGTTTTGGAGGTACAATAGTACAGTGGACCCTCTACTTACGGAATTAATCCATATTGGAATGGTGGCTGCAGGTTGAAAAGTCTGTAGGTCGAGTCTCCATTGACCTACAATGCATTGAAAACCGATTAATCCCGTAACCGGCCGTTTTTGTTCTGTTTTTGTTCCATTTTTGTTTTTTCCTGGTCTGTAGGTTAATTCTCAGGCTGCAAGTCGAACCTAAATTTTGCAGCGAGAGAAATCTGTAACTTGAAAAGTCTGTAAGTCGAGGGTCCACTGTACAGGGGACGAAGGAGGAGACGACCTGAATCTTCTAGATCCAAAAGCTTCCAAAATGAATAATCCATTTAGATAAGGAATTGAATAAGGAATTCTTAAATAAGACATTTCTGAAGGGAATTAACTGATCACAATAAAATGGGTTGAACGTTTCTTCGCTATCCACTTCTCAATGCAATTAGCCTTCCACAAGCCCCTAAGTGTGTTCAATGTAATAATGGCCATCTCTGCCTTGCAACATTTTTGGTTTCTGACAAAATTCTTTGCCATCCAAGGGACTCAACCTCTGTTGTGCCTCACACTTGGGAGTAACAGACAGTGGAGTTTCCGATCACATGGTTATGGATATGGGTAAGAACAATACATTCTCCAGCAGGTAGAGGGAAAGGGAAATACCAACCAGACAGCTCTTTGCTAATGACTGCAAAATATCACACTAGCCAAATTCCTGAATCGCTCTGAGGAAATGGAAGCAAATGATACTGATGAAGGTGACAAGAGATCCAGATGCCAAAGGGCAAAATTGACTCTCTGTGTAGACACACAGCATACTTCTACCCGGAAACTATAGGAACTGCCTGTCTTGTATGGTATCACAGAACTATAGGGACAAGAGCCAGTTACTGAGCTACAGATAGTAACCCTTGTGCTGTTTACCATAAGAGTTACCATTTTATTTTACAGAAGGTTCCTTGTGTCAAATTTTCCTTCACAGTTTCACTGATAAGGAAGATGAACTTTGACACTGCCCTACCTTGTCCACCTTCCATTAAGGTGCCTGCTCTCATCATGCCTCTCACCTCTTCAGTAGATAAGTGTATGTTGCTGTACTCCTAATATGTTCATAATAATTTTTCCCGAGAACATACCTAAAACTGGGTGCCTCATATGTCAACTCTTGGCTCTTTACAATAGCCTACAGGAGTTCCATAATTCATTCATTCATTCATTCATTCATTCATTCATTCATTCATTCATTCATTCATTCATTCATTCATTCATTCATTCATTCATTTGTCTATCTTATTTCTAGGCCAGTAAAGGGGCTCTGTTTGCATTATGTGCCATCAAATTGAAACCAACTTATAGCAATCCTAATAGGGGTTTTAAGGCAAGTAAGGTATTTAAGGAACAGTTTTACCACTTCCATTCCCGCAAGTGAGTTTCCACGTCCAAGTGGAGATTCACAGCTAGGTCCCCAGAAGCACTGCATTGGGTAGAAGCAGTGAATTGACTACATTTGTTTTGAAAAGGTTTCTTTTTTTGTTTGTTTTCACTGGTGCTTTATTTTGTTTGTCTGCATCTAATACCATTTCCAAAATTAGGGCTGATGAAAGTGGTTTTCCCTTTCGCTACAGCTGCTTTCAAAAAAGCTCTTCCAAACATGAGTCACCCATCGATCAGAAAACAATGTTTAAGTGAGTCTCATATCCACCCTTTTACATCAGGGGCAAACAGCAGCAGGTACAACCAAGGCTACTTTTCCAGGCCCAAGAAAACCATGTTCTTGAATTTCAGTGGCAAAGTGCCATCACCATTATTTAAAGATAAACTACCAAAAGACCTGCAGAAGAAACAAAACATGCAGACTTTTTGCCAAACTGTGACAGAAAATTGCAGAAAGCGTAAAAACATATGGATTTCCCATTGGTCTTAAAGGACTTTTATTGTTCATAGCTGAAATTCAGTGCCATAATCTGCCAAGAGTAGGGGGAGGGGGAAATGGCCTATGGACACTGACTTGCAAACATATCTATCTATCTATTTATTACATTTATAGCCCGCCCATCTAGTCATACCGACTACTCTGGTATACAAAGTTATGTATACCTTATTTATATGGTAAGACCATAACGTACACTGGTTCCCTCTTTAGAAATGTGGCTTTGGTGGCAAGTGCTGCCAGGAAGGAAGACATAAGTTGCCCATTCGGAATGCTTCTGCAGAATTCCTTTAAAAAATACTCTACAAGCCAAAGCAGTTACTTATGTCTGCAAATCCACACAGTCTGCCATTGTTCACAATAAGGAAGCAAGTGCACAGCAACACCTTTTCCAAGGGCATAGTTTTGTTTCAGATTGACTGTGAGACCCACTTCCCCCCCCCATTCATCTTTACCTCATGGAACTGTTGTGCAGATTGGATTTTTCAGCCAGTGGCATAGTGTGCATTGCCAGCGCCCAGCACAAGGCAAGTATTTGCACCCCCTAACCCATGGACTGTTTGACCGGGATTTCATAATTGCCATAATCACCTGTTGTCTTCAGAGAACCCATGTATAACACCTGTGTGTGTGTGTGTGTGTGTGTGTGTGTGTGTGTGTGTGTGCGCACGCGCGCTCTGGAGTGCTGAAACAGAGGGGAGAAGGTGGTGCGCGCGCGCACGCACGCACGCACGCGCACTCTGGAGTGCTGAGACAGAGGGGAGAAGGTGGCTAGGGTGGCCCAGGGTGGTGGGGGCAAGAGCGCAACCTGCCTGGACCCGCCTGGCAGCTGGCAGCAGCGGAGGAAGATGAGGACTGTGGCATTGGAGATTGGCTATGTTGATGGTGGTGGCTTCCCTCAGGCCAGGCGGGCAGCCTCCTCTTCCTCTGCCTCCTAATTCTGCCCCGGCAGTGGTGTCCAGGAGTGCCCCAGAGGGCATTCCATGGAGGGACTGCAGACAGAAGGGCCATGCGTATTGAGAGCCGACAGGATGGCTGGTGGAGCCCACATAACCCAGGAACATAAGGGAGTCCAGCGAAGTGAGGCTGAGCTGGTTGGCGTTGGTCTCAATGTGAACCTTTTCCCCCTGTGAGGTAGCTGAGCAGTGGGAGAGGGGCTGGATGGCCAGACCATGCTGCCCTTCTCCTGATCCATCACAGAGCAGAAGGAGGCAGGCAGGGAGGGCCACGTCTGGTGTGGACAACCTGCCCAAATCCTCCCACCCCTGGCAGGCAGGCAGGCAGGCAGTGTGACTTCTAAATGGAATGATAAAAAATCAACCCAACTTTTCTCAGTCTTCAACACTCGTACAACAAACCATCAACTGTAGAGCAAAAACAAAACAAAAACCCATTTGCAGGTATGGCAGTGAAGTCTGAAACTATCTCCACATCCACAGCAGGCAACACAGCAAAACAGCACGGCCCCATTAAATGGAAGATGACCAGTGCTAAGAAACCACAAGAATCTCATGCAGCAGTTTTCAAAGAGGTAGCCATGTGAGTCTGTTTCAGCCCATTTAATACCAGAGAAAACGGACTGGAACCCTTGAAAAAAGTAACACTGAAATAAATCTGTCAGTCTTCAAAAAAAAAAAATCCATTTTGTTTCTCTTATATATCTAACACAGCGTTCCCAAACTAGCCACCCTTAGATGTACCAGAC